CGGGCGTAAATTTACAAAAGGTGGAGAGATATCTGTTATCCTAGTACGAAAATCAATCCATATTGTATGGTTAGGATATAAGATTGTAATAAGTGTGTAATGGAAAGAAAAAACATTGGTCTGTGAAACGCTTGAATTATTTTATGCCAACCACGCGAAATGGCCTACGTAGTGAGCATGTTCAATGACCGCGTCATTAGGTTACATTTTACTAAACATCTGTCTTCTGAATTACCGAGAAAGTGGAGATGTCAGATAATCTCTTTTTTTTGCGTTTGAAAACTTGAAAAGATTAGTAGTTGACAAAGCAAGGATAACACTTTGCAGAACAAAAATTTTTCTTTCGAACGATGAATGTTCAATGTGTCATTGCCAGAACCTTCGAATTTTTTGAAGTAACACTGATTTGTGAATAAACAGCACTAACTAAACAGCGACGTAACACAAGAGCTCATGTGGATGTCGCTTTTTAGCTGAAGCTTGATTACTGTGGAAGATTTGCTCATGCGAAATACCATTTAGTGGTTCTAAAATGTACAGCTTTATTTCTCTATGCTGCGCACTTATTACAATACCAATATTTCATCTCTCCTTCCGCGAGGGCGCTTGGTTCTTGACCATAGCTAGATAGAAACTCACAGCGCAGATAGTAATTTCCTGTGTTTTTCAAAGAAAAACCAGCTTTCGATGTTTTCACAGCAAAGTTGTTGGTGTTTGCATTAAGTTGCAAAGATAGTTGGGATTAATAACTGCTCTATGCACGTTCATAAACGAAATGAAATAGACAGATATACACACATTCAAACAACTTATAAGGACGTTTTTGGAGCAGTAAGCGATAGGAGTTATTTATGTAAAGTATACGTTTATTCAACTAGTATGTATTTTTGCATGCTGCTTACCATTTTTTTGCATCACAAAGAGCAGAAAAGCCTTGTTGCGTAGGTTGTTAAGCATATTTAGCAAGTACATGCTATTTTATTCTTTTTGCTGGAAGTAATGATGATTCTCCACGTCTCAAACTTACACAATCTGTCTAATGTACACCAAATAAAAATGCCTGCCCTTTTGGATTCGCTTTTATGAATATGGAGCCATAGGTTCAATACTCCAGAGAAAAGACAACAGAAGTGATGGTGATTTTTGCTCTGGTCTCAATTAATGATTTTTGTTATACTATAGTAGCCGGCAAGAGGAAACAAGCAAATTTTCTCGCTTTAGATTAATATTAATTTTTTTCCAAACAATAACCAAAAACGCAACAAAATTGCCATAATCTTTCTTGCAAACATTCTTCATTCATTTTCTTTGTCCTTCCTTTTTGCGCATATACCTCCAACAAGTTAAGGAGATTGAGTCGTCTTTTTTACATTAAAAAATGAACTTTTGAACAACACTGACATGTTCCAATGTGTTCGGACATTCTTTTATATCCCAAAAGGGTCATTTGAATTTTGAAACTTCGCCTGTTAAATTC